CTCCTTTTTAATTGCTCTCCCCCCCCCCCTTAAATCCATATTACATACTTCCCACAACAATCCAAACATCCTTCCACTACAATGGAGCTAAAAATAGCCAGTCCCTTTTCTGCAGCAGAAAGGGATAGATGTCAAAAACAGGAAGTCAGAAACCCAGAACAAATTGATCTTTGTCTGCCCCTGGCATAACGGGGAGGGTGGGGGCAGATCCCACACAGGTTCACTTGGTGGTCACTGCTGGGAGGGGTCCTCGTCAGCTGTGTCATCCTCTCCATCTTGTTGGAGATGCTACAAGGGGGGAAGCAGAGGCCAGAAAGGGGGGAGGGAGTGTAGGGTGGGTAGTATGTGACTTAAGTAGTATAAGGCTAGAGGCAAGTGATCAAATTTGGTGGCAGACCTATTTTCCACTTGGGGATAGGGCAAAGCACTAATTTTAAGCTGGTCATACCTTACCGCTGCTGTGTTTTTATTTCAAAATGTAAGTAATAGGGGAAAACAAAAGAAAAAGCCAACCAGGTCCAGACCGATCACCATTCTCCGTCAAGCATCCCTGAAAACCAATTTGGCAGAGAATTCAGCCGCTGTGTTTCTTAAAAAGAAACATTGAACGTTGAACTCACATGCTTCTGATCAATGGATTCAGCTGCTTTTGTTATCTCATCCAGGCATTTCCCAATGATAGGGATCACCTGCCGGTCCACCTCCGCAAAGGTCTTCATGGATTCGCCTATCCTGATTATCCTCCGCTCCTCCATTTCTTGAATTTTCTGCAAGTATAAGAATCGGCATTAATACAGCGCTTCAACGTGTGAAAAGCTTTTCATGTACATTATGTCGCTTGCAACCCTCCTAACAATCCTGCAAGGTCGGCCAACATTGTCATCGCTCCCTCAAAATAGCAAACTCAAGTGATGACTGCCGATAGGATTTGAGGCAAAAAGGAGAAACAAGGGTGATACCTTTTGCAGGACAATTAAAAACAAAAAAGGGTTAACCCCACAGCAAAACAGGATGCAGAAAAAGCATGGGGAAGGGTACGAATCAAAGCCACATATTTCCATGACTATGACCTGCAGCCTGATAGGACACTGAGTTGCTCAGTGCCAACTCAAAAAAACATGTTTCTTTTTGAACTTCAACCCACCAGAGGGTTGGGGTCAGGGCAATGACATAATTCCCAGAAGGACCCACAGATAGATTTTCTATATAGATTTTCCAGATTTCCAATAATAATAATAATAATAATAATAATAATAATAATAATAAAGCTCACTCAATGTTTTTCTTCTGGTTGTCAAAACAATAAGCTGGAGAACTAGCTGCACCAGGCCTCTTCTCCCTCAGCCACCCCATCAGATAACCTCAGAAGGGCTCATTTCATTTGCCAAGCCCAGCTCCACCTCCTGCCCCTGAACTGTGATGTTATGTTAAAGGTAAAAAGTAACGGGACCTCTGACCATTAGGTCCAGTTGTGGCCGACTCTGGGGTTGCGGCGCTCATCTCACTTTACTGGCAGAGGGAGCCGACGTACAGCTTCCGGGTCATGTGGCCAGCATGACTAAGTCGCTTCTGGTGAACCAGAGCAGCGCACGGAAACGCCGTTTCCCTTCCCGCCGGAGCAGTACCTATTTATCTACTTGGACTTTGATGTGCTTTCGAACTGCTAGGTTGGCAGGAGCAGGGACCGAGCAACAGGAGCTCAGCCTGTTGCGGGGATTTGAACTGCCGACCTTCTGATCAGCAAGTGGGTTTAACCCACAGCGCCACCCGCGTCCCTTATGTTATGTTACTATTTATTAATATGCCACCTTTTGGCCAAAACAAGCATCCCAACACAAATACAGACACAAACATAGCCATGCAAATACAATACTGTACAATACAATACAAACTGAACTAATATTTCAAAAGTATTAAAATGCATACAATTTCCTCCCCTAAAGGCAACAAATTGTTCTGCACGAAAATGTTAAGAGGGAGCAAGAATAGGTACTTAAATAGCAGCTCCTCCTTTTAAGGTTCCCAGCCAGGAGGTGGGGCAGCTTGCTCACATTACAGCCTGTGCCAAGTGATTACTGTCAGAACAGGTGTTTAAGAACTGGTGCTTGGGTATGATCTTCTCCTCTGACCTCCCTGCCCATTCCCTTCTGTGTCATGTTTTTTTTTTTGTTTTAATACATTATAAGCCTGAGGAAAGAGGTGGTCTTGTTTTAATTGACTGTGCATAAGCCACTCCTGGGAGCCCTTTTGGCTGAAGAGGGGGTACAAATGCTCTAAATAAATAATCAAATGAATAAATAATAAATATGCCTGGTTCTTGCAGAGGTGAAGGAAATGCTGCTGAAACCGAATAGATGTTAAAGCTGACTAGCAATCGTGCCTTGCTAGGGGGAAGCAAGCCAGGGGCTTATCCACACAACTTTCCTCTGCTCTTTTCAGGCAGTCTGCAATTTAAAGCACTGCTGTGTGCCTCCCCCTTTTTAGGCTCCAGAGCTTTCCCCATGCAAACCCGCTCTTTAAAGCTCAATTGGAGCAAACATCAATCTGCTGGAAACTAGAATTGGCGTTTGCTCTGATTCAGCTTTAAAGAGTGGGTTTCCACAGGGAAAGCTCTGGGCAAACAAACACTCAGACACAGAGTATTACATCGCAGACCTCTCTCTGGAAAAAACGGGGCAAAAGGTAGGGCAAAAGGATAAGCCCCAGGTTTCCATGTTCAGACATTAAACTAAGCTAATCCCTTCTAGGTTTGTCTAACCCATTGCACAAAGTGGGCAAAAATCAGGCTAACTTAGGATAGGAGAATCTATGAATTCAGTTTATCATTTTTCAATTCACAACAAAGGTTTCACCCATTCTTCCAGTCTTAAGTTCAGTCTTCCACATTTTTGTATCAGTTTGCAATTAAAAAAAGAAAAGGTCCTCATAAAAATTCATCCATATTTAAGGGTGATTGATCTGTCCATCTTTAAGCCCAGAAAATACTTTTATTCTGAAGATTTCCATGCAGCTGCTTGGTTCCCCCTTGCCCCTACTTTACATTTCTGATGTTCTTAATCATTTCATGACACACTGTTGGGAAAACAAGCAAACAATCTATTTGTAAATGGGGGAAACAATTGCCCATTTCAGCTGTAACCAAGGCAGCTGGGCAGTCCAACCTCCTGAGGTGATTGCAAGACATCCTCTCTGCACATGCCCAGAAGCCTATTTCCCAGGCTAGGCACTGCAGACTGGCCATTAGGTGACATCCACAAACAGAATTAAGTCTGTGACATTAAAAACAACCATCAGCAGCGAACGTTCAGCCTTGAAGGATAATGCATCTGATGCAGTTCATACATTACTGAGGCCTGAGACTTGCAAAATCAAATTCAAGCACATGCTTTGGGGTGGGGGTGGGGGTGCTGTTCCTGTTTTCAGCTGACACCAGCCCACCCCATAACAATGCAAAAATTTTTTGCTCATCTCACAGCTGCAGAACAGAGGTGGCAACGGAACGAGAAACGGTGATGTCACCATCCAGCTCCCTTGAACAATAGCTATGGGCTCACCCAACCACCCTGCGATCTCCTCCACCACCACCAAGGGGCTACTTGAGCCCTAGACAAGTGGAAGAGCCACTATGACCCCCCAGGGGGGAGGGCAGCAGCAGATATCCATGCCACTGTGGCCTTGGCTAGATGTTTCAAAGCAGTAGACACAGAACAAGCAGAGTGTTGCCATTCCAGCACTGCCCCACCCCACAGCTGACAGCCAATATCATGGAGTGTGGCAGGCAAAGCAACATACAGAACTGAATATATAATGATAACCAACATGGTGCCCGTTGGCCATTGTTGGACTACAACTCCCATCAGCCCTTGCAAGGACAATCCGTTCAATTAGGTTAGCCCATTTGCACTGGGACAGATCCAGTGTTGATTCTCCTTAGAGTAAGCCCACTGGAACTAATGGGCATGGCTAGCTCCAGTTCATTTGCTTCAATGGGTATACTCTGAGTAGGGCTCAGCTGAATGCAGGCTTTTCCAGCTGGATAAATCGGGTTTTACCATAAGTGTCTGCTCATTAAGGTTTTAGTCTTGCTTTAAAGTGTGTGTGTGTTTTAAATTATCTTAGATATAAACTGCCCTGATGAGGTGGTGGCTCAGAAGACAATTACAGAGCAAAACCAAGTATAAGTCACTGAGTTCACATCTGCAACTTGCACTTAAAACACATGGCTACCCCCGGAAACTGTAGTTTGTTCAGAGCCCTGGGGACTATAGCTCTGTGACGGGAAAACAGGATTTTTTTTGGCGGGGGGAAACTGTGTGCTTTAAATGCACAATGTGGGCATAACCTAAGAGATGGAGAAAGTGGGTCGCTAGAGGAGCTCTCACCTGGAAGATGTTAGGGATGTGGGTATGATAATGGTCATGCTGCTCATGGTTGAATCTCTGTAATGTGGAGGAGTATTCCGCTTTGCTCTCTTCAGCCATCTGATGGCGGAGCTGAGCTTGCTGCCGTGCCTGGAGGAAAAAGAAAAAGATAAAAGTCTCAGAGACTTGGGTGACCTGGGGAATTAATCCTGTATCATACCACTGGCATGGTGCATGATGCTTGCCAGATACAGTGCACATTTTGGAGGATTGCCATAGTTGTGTTCCATGTGCCTCCTGTAAACAGTGTTAAAGATAAAATAAAACAATCATTTTTTAAGGCAACCAACTAATCCGCTTTGATTGAGCAGCCTGAATTTGCTGGTATGTGATGGAATCCCTTCTGAAAAGAGTGAGTCCCCCTTTATTGTTAGTCCTTGTTATAGATTACCAGTGGTATGTTCAATTTGATTGCATTTTTATTAATATGAAATGTTTTCTTTATCCTATTGTTTATTACTGTTACAATAATATGCACAGAACATTGGAAGCCGCCTTATACTGCCTTAGGTCCATCAGGTCCAGTGTTATCTACACTGCCTGGCAATGGTTATCCAGGGGTTTCAGCCAGTAGTACTTGGGAGATGCTGGGGATTGAGCCTGGGGCCTTCTGCATGCAAGGCAGGTGCTCTGCCGCTGGGCCAAGAACCTTTGGGCAAACGCTGAAAGGAAAAGATGCCGAGAGAGTGATTCAGCGGGAGTGGAGAAACCCTCTCCTTCCCCCCATTCCCTGCCTGTTTTTATCATTAGTTTATTTTTGAAGCCTCCCTGTGTGTCTGCCTCTCCCGGTCCCTGTCTTGTTTATCTACTCGGAGGCGGAACTACAGTTTTGGCAGGCTGCCTTTTGGTTGAGGTACAACAACACAGTCTTTTGCTGGATGTGGGAGGAGGAAAAGTCCAGCTAACTTTGAGCTTGGAAATCAAATTTCTGAATTGCTGCTAAGAAGCCTTGGAGATGCCTCACTCCTGAGAGCCCGGGTGGAGAACCTTTTTCATTCTCTTCTGGGCAACCGCCCCCGCTCCGCCCTGCTCAGGGGCCGCATGCCGGTGGTGGGTGGGTCCAGAAGGAAGAGTGGGTAGAGCAATGGATGCAAATTTTACCTCTATACTGTAGGTTCATTTGAACACATTCACACACACATCCCTTTCTAGCAGAGTGAGAACAACGTATGCCACCTTGAGCTCCCTGGAGAAAAAGGTGGGTTAAACAAACAACAAGCACTGTAGCAACCAGATAATTAATCTAATACAAAGACCGATTAATATGCGTCCAAAAGATGCACAATCATACATGTGTGCTACACCCAGAAGTGACTCAAAACGTCACTCAACATATCACGAAAAGGGAGAAATGAGGGTGGAGGGAACGAGGGGCGCTTATATGCACTGTTGACACACAGGGGCCGGGAACGGAACCCCCACACAAAATGATAGTTGACTGTAATTATCAACGCTGGCTGGCTCTCATTGGGCTGGTGGGGCAAAAGGCAGGAAGACCTCCAGTAGGTGGGGCCAGAGCCAATGACAGGCAAAGCCGCTACAGTGGTACCTCGGGTTAAGAACTTAATTCGTTCTGGAGGTCGGTTCTTAACATGAAACTGTTCTTAACCTGAGGTACCATTTTAGCTAATGGGGCCTCCCACCCCCGCCGCACGATTTCTGTTCTCATCCTGAGGTAAAGTTCTTAACCTGAGGTATTATTTCTGGGTTAGCGGAGTCTGTAACCTGAAGCGTCTGTAACCCGAGGTACCACTATATCTGTTTGGTTGTAAGAAAGCAGGCAGGTGGAGGTTGGCTGAGGGAAGGTTGAGGGTGGTGGGGCATAGGGTTGCCAGGTCAGGAGCACTGAGGTTTCAGGGCCAAACCTGAGACCTAGGGGAGGCCCCTGGGGATGTCACAGGGGAAGGGCCTAGAGAAGGAGGTTAACTGGGAGAGAGGAAAGGAGGAGGGCAACCCAGACGCTGCAAAATGTCTCTGTTATAATCTGCAGCCAGCTACTGCCATATTGGACCTAGACTCCAGCTGATGCTAATAATTACACATACGCTCAGAGGTGCCCTCCTCACTTTTAGCCTCCTTGGGGCTGGTGGTGCAGAAAGCAAGGAGGCCACCAGTAGGTGGCGCCAGAGCCAATGGCAGGCAGAGTCACCTTCTAAGCCAGCAGTTCTCAACCTGTGGGTCCCCAGATGTTGTTGGACTACAACTCCCATCATTCCTGAGCTCTGGCCTTGCTAGCTAGGGATGATGGGAGTTGTAGTTCAACAACATCTAGGGACCCACAGGTTGAGAAAGGCTGTATCTAAGCAGTTGTAAGAAGACAAGTACGATAGATAGGGGCTGGCTGAGGGCAGAGTGGGGGGGCAGTGCACAACATGCTCCAATAGAGCAGCCTCCAACTGATAATTCTGTAGGCGCTCAGAGGCACTCCCTTCACCTTTATCCTCATGTGTTTTTGGCGCTGCTGAAAGGCCTCTGTGGCAGAGACAGGAAGAGAGGGCATCTGGGCCACAGGCGGGAGGAGAAAAACCCAGCTCAGATGCCGGCGGCGAGCAGGGAAAGAGAGCCAAAATGAAACAGATGGGAGAAGAGCTGGGGAGAAAACATTAAGTAGGTTGCACAAAAAGAAAAACAGGAGGCTCCAGGGTGAAAAAATCCTAGCCAAGGCAGGAGTTCGGGTAATGCTAAAACAAAAGGGATTGATAGGGGAAAATATTTGTGCAAAGATTTTCTGGACGGGCTGACAGCAGCCATTTGAATCACATGGAATGGATTGACCCAGTGGGAGCCTTCCTGCAGAGGAGGCACTCTCTGTTGCCTCTTGTGTGGGACACTGACCTGGACCTTCCGTGCCTTTCTCACACAGCCTCTGCCTCTGGGCTTCAGGGGGTGTGATTCTTTGATCATTCAGACGCTTCCTGATACTGCAGAAATACCAGCCAGAGAGAAGAGGTTCCCTGCTGCCTCTCTGTATCGGACCTGCCCCAGGCCTTCCTTGTCTTTTCCGCACAGCCTCTCCCTCTGGGATTCAATTGATGCTGAAAAAATACCAGCAAGGGGTGGGGAGGGGGAGGCAGCCCTGTTGCTGTTCTGTGTGACTCACAGCTCCTGCTTGAAACCCTGGGAAGGTGCTGCCAGACAGTGTGGAGAATACTGAGCTAGAGACAGACAAGTATAAGGCAGTTCCTTACATTCCCATTGCATCTGACCTTTTCACCATCGAAATCCACGGAAGAGAATTTTGGTGCTCCTCCTCCGTAAAGACTTTTGTTCCCCTGAACATGCTGACAACACTTCCCTCCACCCCAAAATTTATTTGCCAATCGTCTTTTGCCTCTATTTCCATTGGCACCTCACAACTTGAGTTTGCTATTAGAGGGAGTGCAAGAAGAAAGCGCCAAACTGACATTTAGCTGGACTTGGATCCATTTTAAAGGTGTTGGAACAAAAGAAGAGGGGGGGGGACAGTCCAATTTAATGTCGTTCAGGTCAGTAAAGTCGGGGGGGCGTAAAAAGGGAGTTTCAGAGTGGAATCGCATGGTCATAGAGTTGGGACACCAAGGGTCATCTAATCCAAACCCTTGCAGTGCAAGAATCTCAACTAAAACTTCCATGACAGATCAACCCCTGCTTAAAAACCTCCAAAGAAGGAGAGCCCACCACCTTCCAAGGTAGTCCATTCCACTTTTGAACGGCTCTGCCTGTCACAAAGTTATTCCTGATGTTTAGTTTGAATATTTGTTGTCTGAATAGAGCATGGGTAGGCAAACTAAGGCCCAGGGGCCGGATGCGGCCTAATCGCCTTCTCAATCCGACCCGCGGACAGTTTGGGAATCAATGTGTTTTTACATGAGTAGAATGTGTCCTTTTATTTAAAATGCATCTCTGGGTTATTTGTGGGGCCTGCCTGGTGTTTTTACATGAGTAGAATGTGCCCTTTTATTTAAAATGCATCTCTGGGTTATTTGTGAGGCATAGGAATTCGTTCACCCCCCCCTCTAAATATAGTCTGGCCCCCACAAGGTCTGAGGGACAGTGGACTGGCCCCCTGCTGAAAAAGTTTGCTGACCCCTGGAATAGAGGAAAAGCACTCTGGGCCTTCCCTCAAACTCACCCACTAAATGCCTGGTCAAGAGCTTCCAGAACTGCTGCTGGCTTCTAATGATATAAATAAAAAGCTGCCGAATACCATGTTAGACCATTGGTTCATCTAACTCAAGATTGTTTAGGCTGGCTGGCAGTGGTTCTTCAGGGCTGCAGATTTAAACTTGGACCTTCTGCATGCAGAGCAGAGGCTCAGCCCCTAAGCTACAGCCTCTCCCTATGTGAACATAGTTTGTGATCATAGAATCATAGCGTTGGAAAGGACCCTGAGGATCATCTAGTCCAACTCCCTGCATTGCAGGAATCAAACCTGCAACCTTGGCATTATCAGACCATGCTCTAACCAACTGAGGAAGTGAGGCTTGATGAGAGAAAAAACAACCACCCTTTCCTATAACTCCTGTTAGGAACCATCCTTTCCTATAATACCATCTTGTTGTTCTTGCTGTTCAATTGCAAACTCTGTTTTGTGTTTCTAAGTGCGCCCCTTTTAAAATGTCAGTGCAAGAAGAGACTTGGCTTTATTTATTAACTCCCATTTGCACCACCTCTCCTCCAAGAAGCTCAAGGTGGGGCACAGAGATCTTCATTATGGGGAAAAAGCCATAGCTCACAGCACCTGTTTCGCATGCATCAGGTCCTGAGTTCAATCCCCAACGGCTGGGAAGGTCTCCTGCCTGAAACCCTGGAGAGCTGCTGCCAGTCAGTGCAGACAATACTGAGCTAAATGGACCAATGGTTCGACTCAGTTCAAGGCAGCTTCCTGCAAGAAGATTTCCTTTCCACCCCCCAGCTTTCCAAAAACTTCCAAGAACTGAGTGACCCAATAAGGATATCCAAAGCTCAGGAGCAGCTTTTGAGCTAGTGACGAAGGGAAAAAAAGGGAAGATAAATGGGGGCAGGTTCTGAGAGTCTCGTGAGCCAGAGAGAGAGAGGCTGTTTCCCCAAAATGGGCAAAGAATTGAAACGCAAAACAGAAACCTGTGGTCTTGAAAAGGAGAACGGCTAAGAGGCTCATATCCCCAAACTGCCGCCAGCCAGCTTTTGCCGCTCCAGCAGAGTTTAGGAAGCAAAAGTCTTGGAGTTAAATGTTTGCACTTTCAACTTTACCAAGTGCAGATGTGGGGGAGGAGGCGTTAAGGTGGATGGGAACGTTTCCCAAGACACCCATCGTAAAGGAAGTGGGCTGTGCAGATTCCTGAGAAGCACCAGCCCCAACAATTTGGAAGCTGTGTGGTCCCCGCTGACAGCTCAGGGTCAGAGCATCTGCTTTGCATGCAGAAGGTCCCAGGTTCATTCCCAGACACCTGCAGGCAGGTTTTACTGTTTTGGAGACAGTGATTTTGTTAAGATTCATCTGTAAATGCAAATTTAAATGCTGGGTAAGATCAAACGTTCATCTACTTCCCCCATCTGTCTCCTGTCAATGTCTGGCCAGATACCCTTGGAGAACTCAGAGGAAGGGCAAAACTGGAAACAGAATTTGCCTGCCACTGGCTTCCATCACCTGGTGATCAGAGGCATCATTGGGAAATAAGCAACTCAGGAG